TTTACTATACAAAAGATCTTGTATTTTTTAATATAAAATTATTGAAAACTTTAAAAATGAGTAAAATTAATGCACTGGAGTAAAAAGGAAAAAGGATGCTTAGTGCATTGTGAGCGCATTGTAAGCCGCCCTGAGTCTCCGGAGAAGGGCGGCATATAAATCAAATTAAAAAAAAAAAGGAAGAAATAGACAAAAGCTAAAGTGGAAAGAGAAAAAAGAAAGGAAAAATAATTAAAAAGTAGAAAAAAGAAAAAAATATAAAGAAGTAGCTTCCAATCTTTTTTAGAGCAGTTTTGAGTTTAACTGTAGATTTATCTTCTTTTTTTTAAAGTTTCACAATGACTCCCTTCTTTCTATAATCTATCCTATCCATCAAATCAATAGATCATAAATTCATTTTTACTGTTTTATGGAAAAAGTCCCTTATGGGTTTCCAGTAGATACTGGAATGTAAATACTGTCTTTTCTGTAATCAAATTAGTCAGCTTGTCTATCTCAACAAGTTGATTCATCTTCACCAACCATCCCTCCAGTGTGTGTATATGTATGTGTGTATGTGTGTGTGTGTGTGTATCTGTGTATAATGTATTGCCAAACCTTTCCATCTTTATGTGTACAATAATTTTGCCATGATTATCATATATAAATATATTTTTCATGACTCTTTTTTCAATTGTTTATCCATCAGTTACAAGAGGAAAAGCACTGGTTTCAGTTTTATATTAAACTTGTATCACATTCAGAGGTGGGTTTCAGCAGGTTCTGACCAGTTCTGGAGAACCGGTGGCAGAAATTTTGAGTAGTTCGGAGAACTGGTAGTAAATGTTCTGACTGGCCCCGCCCCCATCTATTCTCTGCCTTCCAAGTCCCAGCTGGAAATGGGGATTTTGCAGTAACCTCCCCCTGGATTGGGGAGGGAATGGAGATTTTACAGTATCCTTCCCCTGGAGCGGGGTGGGAATGGAGATTTTACAGTATCCTTTCCCTATCATGCCCACCAAGCCATGCCATGCCCACCAAACCACACCCACAGAACTGGTAGTAAAAATATTTTAAACCCACCACTGATCACATTTATTGTTCATTCACATTAAAAAGTTATGGTAATATAACAGATATGTCATAGATGATTGCCACTACTTATGGAATGGGAAACTGCTTCTCTCAATGTGTGAAATATTCCTTATAATTTGAAATAAATGCACAGTTTAACATTTCCCATAAAATGTCCTTTCATTGAAATAAAATTGTAGATTCTATTTCAGACTCTAGAGCCATGATGGTGAACCTATGGCATGCGTGCCAGAGGTGGCATGCAGCACCCTCTCTGTGGGCATACAAGCTGTCGCCCCAGTTCAGCTTCGCCGCACATGTGCGCGTACCTCCTGCCAGCCAGCTGGTCTTTGGGTCTCTGTTGTGCATGCACAGGGGTTGGAGCGTGTGTGGGGGGCCATGCACAGATGAGCGGGGGCGGGGTGCATGCAGGGGTGGGGCCAGGGGTGGGTTCTAAACTTTTTTACTACCGGTTCTTTGGGCGTGGCTTATTTTATGGGCGTGGTTTGATGGTCATGTGACAATTCTTTAGGATTTAGCAGAGGTACTGGTCTACCAGGCTTTTAACTGCTTGTAGAGCTACCCATTTGTTCTTGGAGCATCCTGGTCTATCCATTTGTTTTTGGAGCATCCCGGTCTATCCATTTGTTTTTGGAGCATCCTGGTCTACCCATTTGTTTTTGGAGCGCACTGGTCTACCACCACACTGCCTTTTAACACTGATCAGCTGTAGGGTGGCCCTTTGAAGCCCCGCGGCAAGAGTTTAAACAGTTTTTTCCTTCCAGCCAATCAGCTGGGACTCGGGAGGCAGTGAAAAATTGGGGTGGGGCCAAATAAAAGGTAAGAATAACATGTGGGGGGGGGCAGGAAGGCCCAGCTCCTGAACAAAGAGAACCAGTTCGGTGACATCATATTATCACCGCTACCGGCATGGCCGAACCAGGCCAAACCGGGAGGAACCCACCACTGGGTGGGATGCATGCACGGGGGCCACACTCACATTGCATTTTGGGGGTTCGAGCATGCTTTGGGCACTCAGGCCAGAAAAGGTTAGCCATCACTGCTCTAGAACATACCAGGCTGGGGAATTCCACACATCTTTAAGCTGCCAAACTTGGGAACACTGATATAGACCAACAAATACTTTTCTTAAAACACACCATGTCCCATGTCACAATCCCTCCCCCTCCACATCCAGTTAACCAATTCCCAGCTTTTCTCTCAGATTATCACTCCTTTGCCTTCGTTGTTCAGCTCCACATTGTTTCCATATACCTTTCCAAATCTGTCTGCAAGGCTACTAATCAAAAAAGGATGAAGCAAGGAACACTGACTATTTGATGACTTGCCCAGCATATTAAAAATACGAGTTTGACATCTTGCAGCATGTTGAACAATCCTTTTGCAAATTACAGCATGGCTAAATACAATTAAGCTCATTCCGTCGTACACAATAACTGTTTAACATATGTGGCGGAGTTTGTGCTCAGATCATGACGTTGGACAGTTCTTCCTTTTATACAGCTGTTACTCTGTAGTCATATTTAATGTGCTGAGGTCTCATTAGATTTCCTAAGATAAACAGGGATAAAACAGATTTTTATTTTATTACTACGACAGAGAAACAATCTCTCCTATCCCCAAACAAAGCCACTCCAGGATATTGTCAAGGAAAGGGGTGTTTGAGGAGTGGAAACCTTTTTTTTTTTTTTTTTTTTGTTAGCTAAGTAGAAATCACAGGATAGTTCAGAATTCTAGTTTTAATTCTGCTGGCCCATTTGATTAGATTACTATTATTCGTCCTACAGTACATGAGGTACCCTTGAAAAGCAGTGGTGAAATTCAATTTTTTTTACTACTGATTCTGTGGGCATGGCTTAGTGGGCATGGTGTGGCTTGATGGGCATGGCAGGGGAAGGATACTACAAAATCTCCATTCCCACCCCACTCGGGGGCCAGCCAGAGGTGGTATTTGCTGGTTCTCCAAACTACTCAAAATTTCCACTACAGGTTCTCCAGAACCTGTCAGAACCTGCTGGATTTCACCCCTGTAGAAAAGCACTTAGAAATTCCAGCCGGTCGTAGACTCATGAAGATGGGTTGATTTAGGGCCATATATTGTTAACAGATGGACCCTGTGTCTCTGTGAGATCATATTATGGGCACCGAGCAGCTCAATTCACCTTCCTCTAACTTTATACTGTAATAATTGCAACACTGCAATTCCATGATGGCTTAGGGGAGGAGTTTCTTCCTGTAGGTAGAAACTCCTGCCAAACTCCACCTCATAGACTCTTACATCTACTATTTCCTTACAGCTGATATAAAACTCTCATATCCTTTATCTGTAAGGGCAGATTTGCAGCTAGCAGTGGTCTTTTTAAAAAAGCCCACACCCTTTTGTTTTATGAAAATAAATACAGCAAAGGCAATAACCAGATCAAAAAGAAGGTGCCACATATCTTTGTTGGCCAGTGGAAAGATTTCTGGTTGACTCAGCCTCAGTTTGCTTATGTTGAGATTGGCTTCCTAAACTGAGCATATTGTTTGGATGCATGAAAGTACCCTTCAACTCTCAGAATATTAAGCTAGGACAATGGTAGCTGAGGAATTCTGTAGGTTGAAGACTAAGCATCTGGAGATTGCCCTGGCTAAGGAAGGTTGCATTACACCAAATACTCTGGGTTCTGTTTCAAGTCACAATTCAAGCTATTGGCTTTCACCTAAAAGTCATTATGGATTGGGACCAGAATATTTAAAAGACCACTTTCTTCCTATGGAATCTGTCTATCATTGAGCAATACAACTGAGCATGGAAGGAAATAATAATCTGTTCATAGTCAATTACAAAACCAATGGAGGCATGATTTTTTAAAAAAAAAATACAGAACCTGAATGTAGAGAGCAAATGTCAGTTAAATTGAAAAGTAGAAAGCTATTTAGATTCTATACTCCCTGAATGCCATTATCCTACTATTTCCCAATGAAATAGTCATTATTTGTTTACTATTTTAGCCTAATTATGTTTAGATGTTTAAACTATTGGCTATCTTACCAAAGAGGGGAGTTCAGAAAGGATAGAATAGGATAGGGTAGGATAGGGTAGGGTAGGGTAGGGTAGGGTAGGGTAGGGTAGACTAGGGTAGGGTAGGGCAGAGCAGGGCAGGACAGGGCGGGGCACGGCACGGCATGGCACGGCACGGCACGGCACGGCACGGCCGGGCAAGCAGGACAGAAAGGCAACTCAAAGCTGCCGACAGAGTTATGTTGGGACATGAAACTTAAAGCGTATGAATACAAGAAACCTCAACATAGTGAAAAATGAAATGAAATTACCATAAACTGATATATAATGCATGAGCAAATTGAAATGGATTGGGATTGCATTGAACCCTTTGAGTCAGAATATCATATTTTTAATGCTTAGGACATGAAAAACAAAGTAAAAACCTATTGCTTTTTTTTTTGTTAGGAAGCGTATAGCAAGATGCACTGCTTGTGACTGGAAACTGGAATGCCAATGTTGGAAATATTAAGGAGGAAAATGAAATTGGATTGGATGTCTTAGGAAATGAAATTAAGAGGAGAATGACTTATCAACTTCTGCTACTCAAAGTATGTTTTCATAGCTAATACTATGTCTCCAAACAACCAAAGGAACTTCTGTATACAGGGACATCACCAGATGGAGTACATAGAAATCACATTGACCATATTATTGCCAAAAGGAGCAAATTATAACATCAAAGACATGGCCAGACGCTGAGAGTGGAACAGATCATGAACTGCTCATGTGCAAGTTCCAAATTGTGCTAAAGAAGAGGAACACTAACCAGATTCCACAATATGATCTTGAGCATATACCAGCCATTTTCAAGGAGAACATCAGGAATTGCCTTGAAGTCCTCAACCTTATTGATAGAGAACCAGAGGAGCTGTCGGATGACCTTAAAGAAATGGTTAAAGAAGAATGTGAAAACAGTCTGCTAAAAATGAAGAAAAAGAAGAAAGCAAACTGGATGTCAGAACGTATCATGGAAATGTCCAAGAAAAGAAGCGAAGCCAAAGCCAAGCAAGACAAAATCTGAGAAAGGAATTTAATAAAAAATTTCAGAGAATTGTTAAAAAGACAAGAATCGGTATTCTAACAACATATGTAAAGACACCGAAGATGGAAACTCACATGAAAAAACTAGAAAAGGTCTCAAAAAGATGTCTAAACTCAGAAGGAGAAACTCAAATCAGCTATGCTAAAGGATGCCAATGGACAGACAGTAACCAATTCAAAGGCCAAAGAAGGAAGAAGTAAATTGAAATACTGTGCAGCAGAGATGTCAACATCCAATATATCCTGAAAGATATTGCCTACTTACAAGAATCTCTAGTATTACAAGTTCAAGTTAGGACTGCACTTTGAAAGGAGTATTATTTATCTTTGTTGCCTTGAGTTATGTATATTAAAAAAAGGCAGAAAAAAATTGTATAAAAATTATTTTTTCTCCTACTTCACACAGATGATCCCAGGTATTCCTTGCTATACATTTATGTCCGTCAATGTGACATGTCAGCAATAGTTGCAGATCCATTGGAAAACAGTGAGGTTGCTTGACACTTTCCAGCTGCGGCACATGATTTGAACATTCAAATAAATGGAATAAAGTTTCCTATTACCCATGCCTTAACCTGTGTCTCTCCCCGCACTGGAGGGTGAAAGGGCATTGATGAACAAAGCAGAAGACTGTTGTGAGAGAGTAAACTTCCCAAAATTTGGCTAGGATTGTTATATAAAATTACTTTAGAATGTTTATGGGAGGAAAAGTTTCTTCCTTCCCCCACGCTCCTCATACATCTCTCAGGAGGGCCTCTCAACCTTTCCGAGAGGCTTTTTGAAGTTTGTGGTAGGAAGGAGGGGTGGGAAATTTTCCATCCCCTAAGCTCTTAATTTAATTTCTCATAGGGTCCAAGCTAGGGATGACTAGTATATCCATTATGGCTTCCTTCTGTTTCCCATTTTTATAAATTGGTGAGATTCAATTTATCCAACTTTCACATACAGAAAAAAAAACCCCACCACTTCAGACTGAATTTTGCATGTACTGTATACCTCTAACCATAGGCATTTGCTTAGAAATTTGCCTGCTGTATTTTTTTTTCTTTTGCAGTTTTTCTTAATACGATGATGACATGTTTTTGAATGGTCTTCTCTCTAGTGAGCATCTTTTTCAAAACATCAAGGTACTGCCTTGCAAAGGTGAAAGTCCAGATTTTGAATAATCGTTTCAGTATGTATGTTGGTTTGCAAATGTGAACTTTGATACATTAGTTTTCTTCTCCAGCCTTAATCCAAATCAAGCAACCCACTCTCTGCCTTTACATAAGGATGCACTTATAGACCAAGAATCTGCTTATATCTCGATGGTACACATAGGCTCCCTGTACCTAGCATTCACTAACTGGTAGCAATGTATTAGGAGTAAGGGTATGTGGGAAAGACCTTGGGAAACGAGATAACAGAATAACGAAGATGAAAAGATGCTGCCAAGGGAACAGTTAGATAAGAGACAACACAATCCACAGCTGGTTAGTAGGTGAGGCAAGAGACTCTAGTTTCTCAGGCTGTAAAGGAGAACTGTACTTTTAGCCTCGCAAGATTCTGTTAATGTAGCCTTACAATAAAGTTGAATAAACTTATATGGTTATATTTCTTGTCTAGGCTACCTGGTAATGCTGACATCAAGATTGCTCCTTCTCAACATTACCTGCCTCTTTCTTGATCTAATGTCTCTTCTACTGTATGTATTATCTTTTGGTTTGGGCACCTTCCAGAATAATAGGGGAGAAGGAACTAAAACTGCAAGTAGGAACCATCACCCCCTATCCCATCCTTCTAACGGAAGGCTTTGCTAATTTTTTTCCTTTACATTTGCAAGGAGGCATGTCTGGATCCAACTTGTTTTCAAATTGCTCCTCTTAGGAAGTTTACCAAATACTATGACTACCAAAAGGATTCTCCTGCAAGTCAGATGAGGCATATTTGAGGTGCCTGGCAAAAATCTTCCACACTTTATACATGTAGACCTCCTCAAACTCAAAGTAATATGTACGAAGCTGATCTGCCATGGCATATGTGCCAGAAACAACAAACTGCATTAAATCAAACCCAAGAAAAAGTAATAGGAGTAGAAAGGGATATTTTCCAAAAATCAAATGTTATATTTCTTCTGTAATACAGATGTGCTGAAAGCCGGAATGTTACCATGTAAAATGCAAGCAGTTTTGATGACATCTCTACTTTTTCTGTACAGTCAATCTGAATTTCATTATCTTGCTAACTTTAGGTCATGAATAGATTAGGAAGGATTCCTTTTAATGTCCTTATACTAGGTACATGAAGTATACTTATAATCATGAAAATAGATGAGAACCCACTGAATATCTTTCATCCATAACACAAAGCTTTATTAGTTTCTTCTTCAGCACTTTCCCCCATTTATGTTTCAGACATAAAAATATGCAGAAATATTTCGCTCAGAGAATCAAGGTGGCCAGAGAGACTAGTGAAGACTGCTGGAAGCATTGTGTTGTTTCTAGAGCATGCAATGTTTTATTTTAATTCATGACCTCTTGGGTAGAAATACAGGAAGAGTTATTCCAACACATACAGCTGTGTTAATCAAACATTCATCTCCACCTAACTTGTTATACTGTTGGATGCTTTGAAGCTTCTCTTTACTGCTATTTTATTATGTATTTGTTCAGTTCCAGTTCATGCTCCATGTTTTTTTACCACATGTTTGATTCTTTCGCTGCCCAGGTTGCTTTTTAAACTTATTTTCCATACATTCACAGGGCAAGATTAACATAGGAGGTACCATCAGTGCCTAGATGGCGTTTGCTGTCACAACGGTTGACGTGTAACAGGAATTTTGTATTTTGCTTGGATACTGCTGGTGCTTTCTTTGGAAGAGGTATTTCAAGCTGATCTGCAAAAATGGAGTAAAATCCATAGGTCATGGCAATTAATGCATTATTTACATCAACTAAACTGCCAACACATAGATCCTATGACTTTAGGAACCTTGGCCAGAATAACCCATCTCCTATAGATTAGATGCTTTGAGATGCTACCACAAACTTCTGAAACTCTTCTGTATGCCACTGGACCTGCAGTTGTTTGCCAAGGAAAATACCTCAAGCCAATATGTTAGGACATTGATGTTTCCTTTGCCTTCTCTGGTAGCCAAGCACTGAAAGTGTTCACACTAAATTTTGCTGGCTCTGAACTCATGCAGAACCCCCACTGGGAGGATGTAACAGGATCTACTGCTTAAGAAGGTAAGGGTGGTCTTGGTTCCTTGCCTTCCAATGCCACATTGTACACTGAGAATTGATGTGGACTAGTCTGAGAGAAAGAGAACGGTCATAAATGGATAGCAGAGCATTTGTTTTGCAGGCCAAAGATCCCAAGTTCAGTTCCTGGCATCTCCATGGATGATGGTAAAAATTCATCTTTGAAACCCCCATCTCAATGAGTACTTTTTCTTCTGCCAAATAGGTAAACCACAACAAGCAATGGATGGTTGTATCCACAATCTGGCTAACTCTATCCCTAAATTCCTCCTCTAAAAAGTAAAAGTAAATGTGCACCTGTCCAAAATCATTTGGGTGAGCTGGAAGGAAGCAATGGGATGGAAAACTTGCTGGTTCAGTTGAGTTCAACTCCCAGCTGTTGGGCCTTTTCTTGCCCAACGGCTAAGGTGATGGGTTATGTGACAGAATTACGTAGCAGCTGTCCAGATGAAGTCTGATACACTGATACAAAATTGTAGTGTGTGTGTGTGTGTGCGTGTGCGTGTGCATGCACCCGCGCCCTGTTCTGCCCAAAATAAGACATCCCCTGATAATAAGCCCAATTGGGCTTTTGAGCACATGGCAATAAGGCCAAGTGCTTATTTTAGGGTTCAAAAAAAAAATATAAGACAGGGTTTGTCATCATCCAGAAAGAATAAACACAAGATAGTCAAGAACACGGGAACATCATGAGGTAAATTAAACAGCATACAGAACACACAGAAGAAAAAGAAGGGAAAAAGGGGGAAATTCTCCTTTATACATACAGCCTACAATTGTGTGTTCTGGCCTATTGTACTCTTTACTGTTCCAGCTACTAAATTTAATATCCTAACAGATTTAAATTAAAGAGATTCCCTAAATTATAGAAGCTCAACCTCCTTGGTGCAACTTCCTTCAGAGGATAAAAATGGAGGGAAAATCATGAGGTACTAGCTTGTGGGAAGGCACATTTTTGATCTGGTCTGTTGCAATGATCTGATTCAGGGTCGTGCCTGGAAAACCAAGTCATAGAGTGAAAACAGTTGAAAATGAATATGTCAAGGACCTGTTACCAGGTAAGCTGGCTATCCTATCCTGACCTGTTCATTTATACTTCCTTGTCACTGTGCTATAGCACCAAAGGGCACCATTTCTCCTGAAAATGAGTTTTCATGAAAGTACAAGGGGCCAGCTTTTGTGGCATTTGACCAGCTGAAGAGTCTCAAAACAAGTCTCTTTGATTCAACAGACCATAACACATGAAAAAAACCTAGAACTGCAGAAAAGCTGAAATATTACTTGCAACTATGAATAAGCAAAGGATGGGGTCTTACTCTAGGAATAGTGTGAGTGTTTTGGTACATGATACTTAAATTACATATACTGATTTTCTGCATTTGTAACGCCAGTAAAATACATGCCTTGGCTAGAATACACAGACAATTAAAATATCTCTCTTTTGTTCAGCTTTAACAGGGGTTAAAGCTGGACATGTACACAAAAATAGCACTAAAGAGCCGTTTCACATATGTTTTAGACTTATAAGAAAATTCCTGGTGCCTCTCTAGTTTTGATAGTTGTAACCAGTGGTGGGATTCTGCCGGCTCTAGGGGGT